CATCTGCATTAATTATCAACATCAGGTGTTCTTCTTTTACCCATCACTCCCCATTCCTTTTAGGGGGAGGGAAATATTTTAAGCAAATCCAGGATGTCATGTACGTTTACTGGATTCATTTCAGTATGTGTCTGCCATCCATATGAGCTCAAGTGAAGCATAAACTGAATAGTATTAAAACAATGTGCAGAGTGAGTGGCTTACCATAAAGTGGCTTATACTTCTTTTATTTGAATCTTTTCTTTTTGACTAAGATCTAAAAGTAGGCCATGGGCTTTGTGTGGCTTATTTAACCACAATGACACATTTTGTCTTTAATAATATCTTCCTTCTCCCTCTCCTCTCTGCCAGTTAGTAGTCCAGAGCACATGGTTGTCTCCTGTATACATTCTCCCACTTTCTGGAGTCAGTTTATTATTTCTGTTTGATCTTGTTTGACATGTTCCTTTAATCCCCCAAATTTCTATCAATCAGCAGTTTAATACAGTGGCATTCAGGTAAACGTGTTTCTTTGTATGTGGCTTGTGTGTGCATGTGTGTGTTTGTGTTTGTGTGTGTGTGTGTATGTACATGTGTGTAGAGAAGAGATCTCTGGGTGTCTTCTGCTATTGCTTTCAAGGTTATTGTCCTTTTGAGACAGGCTCTCTCACTGAACCTGGGGCTCGCTGATTTTCAGCTAGGCTGCTGGCACACAAGCCCCTATGGTCTTCATGCTGGGCCTCCCTCTCCGGGGTTATGGGACCATGCATGGCCATTTCTCACTTTTTATGTGTATTGGGGATCCAAATGCTTTGGAAGCCTTTTCTCCAGCCCTTAGAAAAGCAGTAGAAATGGAGGTGGTATCTGAAGAGGAAGCTCAGTGGTTAAGAGCACTTTCTGCTCTTGCAGTTGAACAAGTTCGATTCCCAGCACTTCTGTTGAATCTCACAACAGTTTATAACTCAGTTCAGGTAATTTGACAGCTTCTTGTGCCTGCCACAGGCACCAGGCACATATATACATATTTACATATACATAAAATAAAAATAAACATTTTTCAAAATGAGCAACTTTTAAAAGGAAGTGTCTGTATGTATATATGTACATGTTCAGGTGAGTGCATATGTTTGAAGACCAGAGAACAACCTTGGGGATCATTTCTCAGATGCTGTCTATCTGGTTTATGGAGACAGGAATCTCTCACTGAGTCCAGGGCTGGCCAGGGTGTCCCAAGCAACTGCTTCTCTCTGCCTCCCAAACACAATTGCTTCTGTACTCAGCATTTCACATGGGTTCTCAGAATCTAGTCCTCATGCTGCTGTGGCAAACATGTCACCAACTGAGTCTTTGATAGTATTCTTCTGTATTGGTGTTGCTTTGTTACTGGGGTCAGATACTGTTGATGATCTGAGCTGTGCTTGACAAAGTCTCTGTGACATTTGCTGTGGTTTCTAAGGCAATGGTAATCACTGTACAGTCAATTATTTCATTAGCTGTCAAACTGCACATTTCTGTATTTCCATCATTCCTGACATGGTCACTCTGGTACTCCCATCCATTCCATGAGTTTATGTTTCAAGACAATCAGGCAGTTCTGAACCCTGTACAATCCACAAGAACCTGAGATGGCTAGCTACCAGGTAACTAACAGGCACCAATGCCATTGGCACAAGGCATAATTTTACCATGCTACTCTTAACAGTATGATTTAAAACCTCTGAATTACTTATTTCTGGAACTTCCTGTTAATGTATTTTAGTATGTTTTACCATAGGCTACTGACACTGTGGAAAACAGAAACATTGCTTCTAACAGACTATGGTAGTTACCATTTTTCTATGATAAGAAATTTTCTTACATCAATTATTTGGTGCCCTAGGAATGTGGTTCATATCCAAGAGGCAGATCGACTGATTCTGACCTTTTACCTACTTGGTTTTGTGATCATGGGTTGGCACATTATTAAATAGAACCAAGGACTATGTCTGCCCTGAGGTCCTCTGGACTTCATGTGGTTGAATATTGTTGAAGATAGTTATGAATATGACCTAGCACTAAACTGTCAATTTACTTTCAACACTCAGAGACTTTCTTTGCAATTTTATTTTGTGACTTGATTTTGGAGTTATTGAGTGTAAATATTTCAGATGATAACATCTTGTTGCAGTGTCAAAGGATTGAACACACCTGAATCTAAACTTGTGTGCTCATGTGATGAGTATATGTGTGTGTGTGTGTGTGTGTGTGTGTGTGTGTGTGTATGAAAAGTTTGCAGATGTGTAGGCACATATATGTATGTATGTATTTGCACACATTTACATATGCATGGGGGGTCAGAGATTGCTGTCTGATGTCTTCCTCCATTTTTCTCCACTTTATTTACTTAGTCAAGGTCTCCCAGTTGAGTCCAGAGCTCACTGATTTCACCCAGTCTAGCTAGGAACATGCGCTGGGATATTTTCTGTCTATGCTTCCTGAAGAGTCATTGATTGTACATAGGCCACCACACCTACCTAGCATTTATATGGGTGTTGGGGGTCTTTGCTTCCTGTGCCCTCTGTCTAGCTCAAGTCTACATCTTTAAAATTCTGCTTAACAGGAGAGTTTAAAATGCTGCAGGAATGAAAATGGTATCTAAATTTCCTAGCTCTTCTTGATAGCTATGTGGTTAAGAAGCCAAGGTTCTCAACCATTTTCCTTCTGCTGTTGGAAGAGAAAAGTCAGGGAACACTAGGGGTCACACAGTACCACTTTACAATGGTTTTCTTTTGGGATCTGATTAACCATTGTAGTCACCACAGATTCTCAACACTCAGGTGGTTGGCAGTTAGGTATAATGGAAGCTGTCTTAGTTAGGTTTCTAATGCTGAAGAGATACTATTTCCAAGGCAACTTAAAGAAGGAAGCATTTAACTGGGGGCTTGCTTACAGTTTCAGAGGGTTGGTTCATCATCATTGTGGTAGGAAGCATAACGGCAGTCAGGCAGCCATAGCACTCAGGCAGTAGCTGAGAGGATACATCCTATCTAAGAGATGAAAGCAGAAAGTGAGCGAGACTAGACCTGACCTGGGCTTTTGAAGCCTCAAAGTCCACTCCCAGTGACACACTTCCTCCACCAAGGCCTCATGTATTCTAACAAAATCACACACACTCCAACAAGACCATATCTCCTAACTCTTCTACATCAGTCCACCATCTGGGTACCAAACATTCCCATATGGAAGCCATTCTCATTCAAACCACCCACTACTACCATTCATTCCTCCATTCCTTTCCCTTGCTCCTGGCTGCAAGGGCTGGAGTGCTGTGGGCTGTTCTGTATGTCAAATGTGTTGCTCTGATTGGCTAATAAATAAAACACTGATTGGCCAGTAGCCAGGAAGGAGGAAGTATAGGTGGAACAAGGAGGAGAAGAATTCTGGGAAGTGGAAGGTTGAGTCAGAGAGACACTGCCAGCCACTGCCATGACAAGGGAGATGTAAGGTACCGGTAAGCTACAAGTGACGTGGTAACTTATAGATTAATAGAAATGGGTTAATTTAAGATATAAGAACTAGATAGCAAAAAACCTGCCATGGCCATACAATTTGTAAATAATATAAGCATCTGTGTGTCAGACTGCCGGGGGCTTGGTGGAACCTGGAGAGAAAACTCCAGCTACAAATGACAACCAAGGGGTTGGGAAGAGTTTCCACCTAAAACCTGAGAAAAGATTCTAAAACAAAGCTAAAAACAGCTTCCTAATTGTCTCAAGTAAGTGGTAGCCTGCCGGTTTGAGCTACTATGGCCAGTTCCTGGTGTGTGTGTTTGACCTGCAGTATGACAGGAAGGAGGCATCTACAAGCTGCACATTATGTTGCATGGTGGATTTAGTTTTTGCTAGTAAAAAAAAAAAAGAGGTTTCTGGGCTACACACTGCTTTGATAGAAGCATAGACCCACTGTTTCTAAGAGTTGATGGCTCCCAGAGCTGGCAGTAAACTGTATCACTACCATGCTGGGAAGCTGAGATGGGTGGAACCAGCAGCCACAGCCCAGTTTCAGTCTTAGAATGCTGCAGTTTAAAACAATAGATTCAAAATAAGACAGATTCAGATGGAACAAGATTTTAAATGCTTTACAGTGTGTGTAAAAATATACGTAGGCTTGAAAGAGAGAGGAAAAGTAATACATACAGTTATATAAAGAAATACATAGTTTTAAAAAATAAAGTCTTTAAAGAGACAGTAAAATTAACATAAAAAATAAGCCATGTAAAGATGGATATCACACAGAGGATCTGGATTATGTTGTCTTTGGAATTTTTAACTGCAGAGAGACATTTGATTTTAAAGGCAGATGAGTTAAACAAATATGTATATTTTAAAGATACCTTGACTTCAAAATTTGGATCTAAGGATATGTTGCTTTGGAAAGGAGGCTTTGCTTTTGTTTCCACAGAACATCAGAGGCTATGGATTTGTTCCAGATTAAGATACATCAGGTTTGACCAGCCAAGACCACCTGAAAGGTCTCCGATGACACTATGGCCCAGATGATCCAACATCCAGAATGGTTTCAAGGCAACTGGCTCAGACAATACAGCCTCACAGACTACCCCATAAGCCTAAAATTTTCTTTGTGTCCCCATAAGATACAGCGCCCCCCTCCAGCAGGAAGTAGTAAGAGAAGCTACGCCCAAATTCCCAAATATATCAAGCTGGCTTTGGAAATGGAAATGGCTCACTCCTTCTCTAAACCCAAGCATATTGCTAAAAATAAATAAATAAATAAATAAATAAATAAATAAATAAATAAATAAATAAAAGGTTAAGAGATTCTCATGTCCCATATCAGAAGAGCCCTCTGGTTTGGGACAGAGAAAAACTAGTATTTTTATTTAAATCAGGTTGATTATAAATGTGATCTCTTTCTAAAGAAGAAAAGGGGATATAGTAAAGATATGATAGGATAAAAGGATAGATTAATGAACTTGCTTTTAAAGAGCAACAACTTGTTTGAAATGTTTTACATTACTATGGATTTTAGTTTATTGATACAAATTTAAAGTTAATTTTGTTATACTGTGTATTATTTCTACTCTTGTTTAAGGTATTATGTTTGCACAGCTCATTTAAAATTGTAATGGATAACTAAGAAATAGATTAATAATTAGTCATCTATGATAATCATGCTTGTAGACATGTTAGTTAAGTCTTCTAGGTATACATAGATATATTTCAGATATATAGGTAATCTTCAAATACTTCAAAGACCTACAGAATATGGCATTTAAAATGTTTTAAAAATTTAGACTTTCTGGAAAGTGAGACATGTCTGTTCCTGGCAGCACTGGATTTACTTCAGAGAGGAGCATGGGCATCAAAGACACTCTATATGGAAATTTTCTTTTTCTTGGCAAAAATAGCCATTTGGGCAAGAAACTGTTCTTGCCTGGACTGCTTGATCGACTGGACATGCAGGACTCATAAGAAGGTAACCACTGAACTTTGCTTGGCCAAATGGTCCTTCAGGTTCCTGCTTTGCAGAGGAAACTGTCAGACATTCTACAGGACACTGATAAAAGTGCCTGCACAGAGGAAACTGCCAGACATTCTACAGAACACTAAGAAAAATGACTGAGAGACTCTAGCCCTGTGGGCTGAAGACAGATGCCCCAACTTTACAAGAGAATTTTGGATGACTGTGCAGGCTGCCAGCTGTCTGTCTACCCTGCAAGACTCCCAAAAGTTTCTTGCATCCTTCTCCCATTTCTCAGGTAGTATTATATCCTTCTGAGGCCCTTAATGTAGTTGAAGACTAGAGATAGTTATAATTTTTCTTAGTTATGATAAATGATAAGTTAGATATGAAACCTTAGACTCACAAATATAAGATAGATAGATTATCTTCTTTAATTTTGCCAAATAGACTAGTTATTATAAATATACTAGATATTATAACTGTAATTCATGCTTGATAATTGTTTTGTTATCTGTAATTTTACTATGTGAAAGTTAAAACCTTCCTTTTTGAAAAAAAGAAAAGGGGAATGTTGTGGGCTGTTCTGTATGTCAAATGTGTTACTCTGATTGGTTAATAAGTAAAACACTGATTGGCCAGTAGCCAGGCAGGAGGAAGTATAGGTGGGACAAGAAGGAGAAGAATTCTGGGAAGTGGAAGGCTGAGTCAGAGAGACACTGCCAATTGCCATCATGACAAGGGAGATGTAAGGTACCAGTAAGCCATGAGCCATGTGGCAACTTATAGATAATAGAAATGGGTTAATTTAAGACATAAGAACTAGATAGCAAAAAGCCTGCCATGGCCATACAGTTTGTAAATAATATAAGCATCTGTGTGTTTATTTTATAAGTGGGCTGTCAGACTGCCGGAGCTTGGTGGAACCCAGAGAGAAAACTCCAGCTACACTGGAGGAATCTGAGCCTGCATGCCATGATATCCCCTTCCATCTTGCTTTCTGGAGCAAGCAGCATCTTGGAAAGAACAAGGAATTAGGTGAGTAAATACAGTATTTTCTCTCCAGGCTCAAGAGAGTTGCTTTTGTCAGCATCAGTGAAAAATTGTAGATTGGATGTGACTCGATGCTTCTTATGGAGCTTGGCCAGGCACTACAGCTGGAACCAAACATGTTTCTGTGTGCTCATGTGAATACTTGAAAATAATTTGTTTTTCCCTGGGCTTTTGAAAGGAAAACAACTTTTAAAAAATTTCCAGGAGGTGCTGATGCAATTTCAGGAGGCTCCCTGACCTGGTTTTCATCATATTGGCTGCTCATGTTGAGGACATGGGGCAAGATTACCCTTATACACCATTGCCTTTGGAAGAGTTGAGTTCTTTTCCAAACCTTCAGTTATTCTACACTTATAATATTATCACTAAGACTATGTGTAGCAGGAATCTTAAAAGGTCTTATTAATTAAATCAAACCTGAGGTCAGTTATTGGGGTGAATGTTGGAAGATCAGAGAAGCAGAACAAGCCACAGCTGCCTTACCTCGCCAGTTACTCAGCTGGTTCTGTTTCCTCAGACTGGAAGCCTCTGAGTCCTCATCCAGAATGAATCTCAGCTGAACTGGTGCTCCAAAGCCTGAAAGCTTAACCAGCCAAATGCTTAACCAGCCAAATGCTTCTAGTTTCTGGTCTCCACACCTTATATATCTTTCTGTTTTTGCCATCACTCCCTGGGATTAAAGGCTCACTTTCTGGGATTAAAGGCATGTGTCACATGCCTGGCTGTTTCCAATGTGGCTTCAAACTCACCGAGATCCAAAGATATTTCTGCCTCTGGAATGCTAGGATTAAAGGAGTGTGCTACTACTGCCTAACCTCTATGTTTAATATTGTGGTTGTTCTGTTCTCTGACCCCAGATAAGTTTATTAGTGTGCACAATATTTTGGGGAACACAATACCACCACAACTATGTGAGAGGGTCAAGGTTGACCACCTTTCCAAAGAGAGATGCCAGATATTTTTAATTGTAATATAATTTTTAATATTTGTAATACTACTGTATTTATAATAATAAATAGATATTTGTAATAATACTACCCTCTTGCCCACCTTTATCAGCAAATGTAAAGGGGAAAAATGATTTCTGCACATAGGTGTTTTATAGAGGAAAAGAGGGGTGTGCCAATGGAACCCAACATGCAAAGAGCAGGGCAGAAGGACAGATATGTCCAAGAACAGTGACTCTGTGGAGAGTGAAGAAATGTTGCTGTTTTGAGCCAAGTGCACACCAAAGGGCTAGCCAAGGCTTCTCCTCTTTATACTCATCAAACTTAATAGATGTTTGAAGATGGAACAGTAAAGTGTTTGGGAAAGCCACTTTTATAAAGTCCACTCCAGTGACATTCTATGGCATGGTTGTGATTGGCATGAACACAGGGCATGCATGCTACTCCTTCCTCTTCTCTTATTGACATGGATTTGGGGCAGACATGCTGGACAAAGGACCCAGATAGGACCACTGCAATAGTGGTGGCTAATGTATACTTTCAATGAGGCCCATGGTCTTACCCAATAGCTTTGTATTTCCCTTTGGGGATACTGGCTTTTCCCTACAAGTGCTGAGTAGATGACAGGTGGCATCTAGAATCAGCATTAGAAAGGCCACATATTCAAGAAAGCTCACTCCACTAGCCCCACACAGAGAATGTAGATGCCTAGATCTGGGCTGACTGAAAAGACCAATGCCCTTTGAAATTCAGGTCCTTTTCCAGAAATTCTATTCTGCACTAATGAACATCCTTGTTGTAGATACAGGTTTTTTTTTTTTTTTTTTTTTTTGCTAACATTGCATACAATGCTATAGTTTATGTTGTTTTATTTGTGTTTTTCCTCTGTGTATATGTGTGATTATGTGTGTGTGTGTGTGTGTGTGTGTGTGTGTGTGTGTGTGTGCATACGTATGTATGTAAGCATGAAGGTGAGTGTATATGCACATGCTTGTGGAGATCAGGTTCACATTAGAATGCTTTCCTTTATTCTTCTCACCTTATTTATTTTGCTTTTGTTCATGTGTATATTTGTGTACATGTTCGTGTCAGCCACATATGTGTGTGTGTCCTCAGAGGCCAGAAGAAGGTATTAAGTCCCCTGGAGCTGGAGTTACAGGTGACTGTGTGCTTCCTGAGTGGGTGCTGGGAACTGAACTCCATTACTCTGGAAGACCAGAAAGTTCTCTTAACATCAGAGCCATCTCTCCAGCCTCTTCACCTTCTGTTTTGAGACAGACCTCTTGCTGAACACACAGCTCAGCAACTGATGATGAATGGCCAGTGAGCTCCAGGTGTCTGCCTGTCTCTGTCTTTCCAGTGCTTGGGTTATAGTCACATGGCCCACACCCAGCTTTTGCATGGGTACAGGGGATCTGAGCTCAGGTCCCCAAGCAAACTCTTTACTGCTAGATGTCTCCCCAGCACCCCTGCTCTTTGCTTTAGGAACCAGCAGGACCTGAGGGGACCATGGGCCCCTTGACTGTGCTCTGTGGAGGCGTGTGCCCCAGCAGGAACAGTCACCATGGGAGAAAGGGCTACTTACCTGTATCTAAAGAAAAGCGAACATTGTGTTGGAGAAATCAAATGCCTGCTGAGTATATTTTCTGTCCTATTGATATCAACTGAACATTTTCCATTTTTCTTGGCTGCTCACAATTACAAGCTGGGCAACTTTTTAAGATCTACAATTAACCTCCTGATGGAAGAAGGGCAAGGGGTATGAGTGGGGCCTGAGCAAAGCAAGTCTATTGAGAACTAAGGTACAAGATCCTGCGGGGAATGAACAATCATAGCTGCACGAGAGGCCTGTCCAGTGGAGGGTAATTTCCATTTACCTACAAGTCTCTGTTTTGCTCCGTGGAAGTCAAGCCATGCAGCTTCCATCATCTACCTTCATCTGCACAAGCTGTGCCAATGGGAGGGGGTTCCAGAGAAATCTCACTGGTTGTTTGGAATTGGAGTTTTCTAACTACAGCATGCCCACCTGGCTTTTGAGAGAAATCATGTCCTGGCGAAAAAGTGAACATAGTCAAAGAGTATGCTCCCTTCTTAACTAATGTCTCTCTACTGTGCCCCATCTCTGTCTCTGTCTCTCTCTGTGCCTCTGTGTCTCTGTCTCTCTGTGTGTTGTTCTCTCTTTCTCTGTATCAGCTAAACTGGCTCATCAATGAATAAAAAGAATCTACCCTCCCCCAGCTCCACACCCTGCCTCTTGTGCAGAGGGATTGTCTCAGCTTTTCACACAGGTGTTGTGACTCTAAACTCACATCCCCAAGTTTATGTGGTGGTACTCTATTGACTCAGCCATCTTCCCAGGCCCTCAAATTGCTTCTTTGGAGGACAAAAAGATATTTCATGTGGGATGTAAAGGTGAGTCAAGTCATGGTTGCTGGACTCTTGTTTGAAGGGCACAAGAACAATGCACAGGGTCCTCAGTCCAGGCGACACAGGCAGGAAAGCCACACTAGAGTTTTGATACTGACTTTGTAACCCATTATTCTTTTCAAAACATACAATACATTAAACCAAAAAGTGACTCCAACTGAACATTGGAGTGTTCAAT